TACTTCTGTTTGACTCCCTTTTTTAAAAAAAGAAAAAAAAATAGATCTTTGGTTGAACACAGGGAGAGCATTAGGGGAAGAACAAATTGTTTGTCTTGAGTAGAGGAAAGGTGTAAAAATACCCATTTTCTCCAGTGAGGCAGAGGGGAGCTGTTGGGCTGAGGTGAGAAGATGATGAAACCTAAAGAAGAGTGTTTTATTTGCTTGTAGTCACCAATCCAAGCAGGACGTTACTAGAGCATCAACAAAAGATGGATAATCGGTAACAGGGCTTGCCACTTTTATTAATGTGGTTAATAGCAGCGGTCACAGGCTGCATTGGTCTGTTTAGATTATTACAGGGCTGTTCTCCTCCATATCTCCATGCATGGAAGTGGGTCACTCCTGGGATCTCTTCAGGAGCCAACAAGTAGTTCCATATCCAGATAGAGCTTGGGAGCAGCTCAGTGCTTAATTTGACCCACAAGGGAGAATGGGACCTCGTCACCCCCCTTCTCTTTGCTCATACCAGTCTTCCAGCCATGGCTTTAGCCTTCTGTCCTGGTCATATTCCTGCCATCCTGCTGTGAAAGTGCAAAATGCCAGACAATTTCACAGACAAGTAACACCACCTTCTTGGATCCCCTATAAAGAAATACATACAAAAAAATACATTTTTAAACTGCTGCATTGTCTGGTATTGAAAAGGCCCAGCTGGTCCCAGAGGAACCCCTCTGCCCTTGTATTTGGGTGCCCTTGGACTAGCTCAGACCCTGTGCCTTAGGGACAGAGGAGGCATATGGCTAGAGGCTCATTTACCTGATGATCTATGGGCAAATTATCTATGTGGCAAAGATGGCCCTGTGCTTAATGGCAGCAGTGTAGTCTCCTGTGGCCCTGCTCAAAATTAAAATAAATAAAAGCATGAAAGCCCTGGAGAATGAAGTTAGTAATATAAAGAGACCCCTGAACAAAGGCCTGTGGGTTGCTGAGCTGGGACTGCTCCAGCATGGGCTTTGCTTTACGGCAGCTGGGTGGTTGTAACTGGTGGAAGGGACGAACAGAGCAGATGGGTGTCGTTCTGGACCCTGGAACGTGGTCAGCTCCTTGCTGTTCTGACCTTGCCGAAGGAAGGGCTTAACTCACCCCGGGATTCCTGGAGGAAGAGGCGGTCGGGCCTGTGTGTCAGGCAGTGCCGTGTTTGGAAGCAGCAGGCTTGGAGCGGAGGCAGGTAGGCAGGGAGAGACATAGGCTGCCCTGGCCAGTGAGCGTGACTGCATTTCCATGCTTTGGAAACACCTCCAAGGGTTGTGCCAGTGGTGATTCACTTCATTGGTAGCCCTCTGATTCACTTCATCGGTAACCCTCTGTGTGCCTTAGGGATTTGTTGAGCAACTTGGTCAGGAGGAGGAGACACAGGAAGCAGGGCTGGGTGATGCTGGGGACCAGGGCAGGCTAGTCCAGAGCTCTGAGCTGGACGGCAGTGTTGGACAAGGAGCATATCCACGACAACTGGTGAGAAGGAAGGTTGACCAAGGGACTGAATGCCCCTCCGTTGCCTCCACTCTGCTGCATGTTTGGGCAGTTGAGTTGCCCAGAGTTGTAGACTTGCTCCAGTCTCCCTTTCGCCTTGAAAAAGGCATAAAAAATGCTAGTTACCTAGAATATACCAGTGTCTGTCTCCTCTTTATGTGGCACCCTGCCCTTGGGCAGAGGATATGCATGCCTGTGTAATGGGTATACTAGGCTTACAGTTACACTGGAATTTGCCGTCTTAGGTCATGAATGTCTCTTTGGGCTGCATCTATTTTTATTATTTCCATAGGAAAATAAAATGCTGAGTGTGTGAGCAATGGTATCTTTGCCCTGGTGCCTCAAAAACAAACATGCAAACCCCAGTACCATGACAGCAAGAAGCATTAATGCATCTCCCATGCTGGTGTTCAAGAGAAATACTTGAGTATCGATAAAATACTTCATTTTAGTCCCTCGCAGAATCTAGTGTGATGGCAGGTTTTTTTTTGAGATGCCCTAATGAAGGGAATGACCGTACCTGCCTAATTAATGTATGTGTGGATGTATATTCCAACTATTGAAGAACTGTGATGTGCCTTCAACAAAAGTGCTGCCCTTGTGGTAACACTGGACATCTGTACAGTGTCATACTTGATGTTAAAAGTTCTGTTAATGGAAGCAGTTGACTATTAAAATGAGTCTAACCGGTGCTTTTGTTTGTCCTGTTTTTCAGGCAATACAGGATTTAGCCAGCAGCCCACCAGAGAGTTCATTCCAGAAACTTGCACCCAGTGAACATAGGTACACCTTGTTGAGGGAAAAAGATGAACTTTGAAACTTGAAATAATCCTGCAAGCCTTTCAGAGAGCAGCATTGACTTCTGTGTGGTGGAAATAGTAAACCTATATTTTCATAATTCTATGTGTATTTTTATTTTGAATAAATTGAAAAAATAATTTTTTCTCCCCAGGCTTGTAAATACATTTGTTTGGTGGGTCATTCTGTACAGCATTTTTCACATAGTATGTTCCTAATGCTCTAGTAAAATACCAGAGACCCATCCAGACACTTGATCTAACTGTGTTCTGTAAAACTTTTATAATCCAAATGAAGGTATCCTTGCCAGAGACATGCTGTTAACTTGCACTATCCCATTAAATAGGACTTTTGGGTTGTTTTCTGTGTAATCTTGGTAGTATGTGACCTTTTTCTTCTTCATGTGAACGGTAATCTTGGTAATCTCTCTTTGTCACCTTTTTCTCCCACTTGAGAGGGTCTATTCTGGATACTTGGGAGGGGAATAAATTAAAGTTTTACAGACTCTCGAGTGGTGCTTTACTGCATGTGAACGGCTGGGCTGTTGAACAACTCGTGCTTGAATTAAGGGAAGGGAGGCGGTCCACGTCACGTGACCGTTAACCGTCATGAGGGGGAGCGGGCACGACGCAGCCGTTACTGGGCGGGGCAGGACGCGGCCGTTGGCGGGCGGGCGGGCGGGGGAGCTCCGGGCAGGCTGGCGGCTTGGCCCTCTTGCTGCTCTGCCGCTATGAGGGCAGTCGTCCCTCGCCCTGCTGCAGCCCTGCACTCACAAAGTAGCGATCCCAGTGTTCCTGTGTCCCCATGTTCCCGTGTCCCCTGCCCCGGGGATGGCGTTGTGTTCCCCGGCATGTTCTCTGAATCCTGGAATTCAAAGCAATTGCTGCTTTCCTTGTTCTTCTCTTGTGTTCGATACCCAAATTTAAGTGTTGCCTGAGAATCCTTAGGCAGCTCACGAGCACTACTGAGATGTGCTGAGATGAACATGTGCATGTCTTACATATCACGGTTTCTGTTAGTTCTGAGTACCATAATGAAGACTCATACCTAATGCTGAATTGCAAAATATTGAGCATAGTTTTTGGCCTGTTTGGGGGTTCTCCAGTTTTGAGCTCACATTAGGCGTTTACAAGCCACGTCTTCCTATCCCCTTCTATACCTCATGCCAAATTTGAGGTCTGGGCAGCTGAACCATACTTCTTCTCAATTTAAATCTGTAGAGCTTTGAGGCTGCTGCTTGGTATCTGTAGGTGCTACAGACCTTTTGGAGGAGTTTGGGGCCTGAAATTGTAGTCCATTTCTGAAAGTGCCCCAAAATACTGATTTCAGTTCTGTGACATTCTCAGTTTGGGGATCCTCATTCATGAGCTCTGCTTGGTGCCCGTAGTCCAGACTTACCATTCTGCAGAGATCCTACCTCATGACGCAGCCACCAGTCCAGTGGCGGATGCTTTCACCTGGAAAGTGAGGAATGTGCCTCCCCATTCCTTATTCCAAATCTGGTATTCTTGGGATGGATTTTTTTCCTCGAGCTTTGGCATCCGAGCATGAGGTGGGCAATGGGACGTGACGGGTGTATGGTAGATGGGTGCTCATGTCACGTCACGTTGGATATTCACTGGAGCTGATGCTGCTGGGTGCTTCATGACCGTGGACCTGGCTGGTCTGACTGAGGTAGATTTCTGCATGCAAGCAGCAGATTGAGCAGGCCAAGACTGATCGTGGCTGAAGTGGTTTGGAGCATCCCTTGCATTTCTGAAGTATCTGATGCCACCAAGAATTGGTGTGGTGAGAGCAAGCGCAACCTGCAGGCTGGGATGCGAGACGTGCCTCAGCTCCAGCCCTGAAGCGGAGCCCTTCCACAGCCGTGATCCCAATGGTTGGGTGCTCCACCAGTAACCACCCTGGAAACTTCTCAGTGCTCTCAGGAGAAGTTGTTGAGCCATTAGTTTTGTCCCAGTACAGAAGCAAAACATCACGAGCTGTCATTCTTATTCAAGGTAAGAAGGCAATTTTTGAGCTATCGTATTTGAGTTATCAGATACGTGCGACATTTTAACTGGTGTTAATTTCAGTCAATGTAAATATTTCAATAGCAGAAGCATGTGTTTGGTAACTAAACACAGGATTCTTAAACCTTAGTAATAAAATAATTTTAATAATACAAAATTTGAGAGGCTTTTATTAGATGTTGAATTTTTTTAAATGACATTTTAAATAAACACTACAAACCATCCAATAGGGAAAAGGTTTTATTCGGTCTGGAAGAATTATGTACATCTTGCACATCTTCTGCCTAACACTGCTAGCAATTTAAATGCTCTTTTGATTATTCAGTTGCCCCTGTTTCCTCAACATATGTAAATAACCCCTTTATTTAAAAAGCATGGTTAAATAAAAGCAGCCCCACTTTAGTCTCTATATAGCAGTCTGAAATTGCTTCCTTAAGGAGGAGGAACAGTTCTTGTGCTCCATGCTTCCCAAGAGGAACACCTCCTGAGCTGCCTCTGCCTGCTTTGTGCCAGTGCTTCCCTGCTGGGAGCAGGGTCTGGTCTGGCCTCAGGCCGGCTGGGGGGAGGCTGCAGCCTGTGCTGGCTCTGCCAGGGCTGCTGTCACTCAAAGGCACCAAGGTGAGGAGCAGCTTACAGGAGGAGAGCAGGTAAGCCTTCAAAACCAGATCAACAATCACAGCTTACAGAGAAAGTGTCTTTTTTTCCAGAGTTTCTTCCTTTAAATTTCCAATTTCTTGAACAAAAGAATGAACAGCAGCAGTACCAAGTTGTTACAAGCTCACTATGTGTTTGCATCCTGAGTAGATGCATTTGAAGGAGTTTTTTGCACGATGGGCACAAATGTACAGAATAACTCCAGTCCTGTCTTCTAGGCCAGCTGCTGTTTGCAGATGTAGGCGCTGTGGCTTTAACACGTGCAGTTTGGACAGTGTTAGGGACTACTTGGCAATCCTGCCCCCATTGCTTCCCTGGGCCTTCGCCCGTCCCAGACAAGATGATCTGACTGACAGCAACGTTGATCACATCTTTATTTAAAAAAATACTAAGCAAGAGCCGTTCAGAAACGCATGCATGTCTTAAGCTGTAACAGGCGCTGCTCGCAGTGTATCCAGGCAATAAAACTATCACCTGCCACCAGCAGACAGTTCTTCCCCAGGCTGGTATCACAGTGGAGGGTAACGATCTCCTGTTGTTACCGTGTGCCCTGCTGCAGCCCCATGCCTGCAAGGGAGTCCTAGCAGCGACCACCACACACAGCTGGACTCCAGGAGCATCTCCCAGGGCTCAGAGGAACTAAGAACCTTTAAAAACTAGTTTTCTGACCTGTATTTCCCTTTTCTAAACAACAGCAGCAATAGTACGGAAGCACCCCGAAAGGATGGAGGGCAGACCTGCACGGTAGAGTATGCGAAAAGGAGAACTTGTTAACACTCCTGTATCCAAAGAGGGAAGCTGCAGAAGTAAATGCCTTCTAAAACAGGAAAGTAAGGATGTAAGAAGATATATAAGGATGCAAGAGGAGATAGCAACACCCAGCAGTGCACACTGCTCAACAAGGATGCAGCTATTGGCTCCGAAGGCCAGAGTTTGGCACGCAGCAGTTCTCAGGACAAGGCTGGGAGCTGGGAACAGGTATGGAAAATGACTCTTAGCCAGGAGCTGGCCCACAGGGTATGTTTCTCAGGCTACCTAACTCTTCAATGCCCATCTTCAAAGGGCAGGTACCATTAACAAGAAACAGTAGAACCTGCAAAAGGCTAAAGCTGATGCTGATCTCAGCTGCCTGATGCTGACAGGTGCTGAATCTACCTAAGTTTGACCTTCTCCACAAGGCTGACCCCATGCTCTGACCATGACCCAGCCAATGCTTTCTGGGCAGCTGCTCGGCAGGCCTAGCACACAGCAGGGCTATGGACAAGGGGAGGTCAGGAATATGGAAAACCGTAAGGGATCACCATAAAAATGGATGAGAGGTTCAGCTCTTACCTTTGGAATCCTACTCTGTGCGCTCCGACTGCGAGGAGCCTTTTTGAGAAGAGCACTACAGTTTTCCAAATGACTTTATTAGTGTTGTCTGCAAGACCGTTTGTGCAAACTGGGCAGGAAGCATCCGCCATCCTCACTACAGCTCTGCCTATGGCTCATCCAGGAGTTTTTTAATTAGAAGTCCCTTGGACAGCTCTTCAAGTAGCAGGACCGCTGCTACCTACGGCATCTAAAAAGCAACAGCCCCATAAGCTCTGACGCTACCTCTTCACACCCCTGAACATCAGCACTGCCATTCAAAATCACCCTGACCCAGCCCTGTAGTGAAGCGTAAGGTTGCAAGTCGACACCATCTCGACTCCTAGTCTTGCATTCCTAGCCAGGATGGAACTTCAGCTGGATTTTTTGGCAGTGTGGTGCGAAAGCTCTGGACAGCTGGAAGAGACCTTCTCCATCATTTTCTGCTTTTTTCTTTGGATCAATTTTCCACCTGTGAAACCCAAAATCCCACCACCAAGCGCAGCTGCAATTCCTGCCACTTTGAAGCCTGCGAGGAGCCCAATGGGACCCCCTACCACTCCACCAATGACTGCACCTGCCACAGGGAGAGCTGCCAGCTTGTATTTTGCAGCCTGTAGAGAGGGGGGAAAAGTGGGTTAGAATCTTTGCCTGCCATGCTGTGCATTTTCCCCTCACTGCTCTTGGCAAAGACGTGAATGCACAGCAATAAATAAACCTTACAAATGAGCATTAAAGAAACCACCCTGTGTGCCACAGGTACAATTCATTGTACAGCTCAAGACAGCTCAATTCATTTTGAAGTGTTTATGGCACTTTCTCATGCATGTAGTTGGACAAAGCAGGTCATTTTACACACTGCTGCCTGATGGCGTATGTCACCTAGTACCCGGTCTCCATCATGAGGTCAAGGGAGAAATTTAGAGAACTCTCACCCTTTTCAGGAATTCGTTTCACTCCAGCTTTGTGGCTTCCTAGCAAGTCTCCCTGACACAGAGGTAGCACGGGACTGAAGTGCCATGTGGCCAGCCTGACATCTCATGCCCACATGATTCTCGCCACCGATCGCTGAATACCCCTTTTGTGCAGATGCTCCTTTCAGAGCAGCATCAGGGCAGCATATAATGAGACTCTGGGCAAATTATACAGATAAATATATAAAATAAAATGGTTTTTCTTCCAGGAGCCTGGATGTGGTTGAAAATTAGAAGGCAGATTGATTTCTTTTCCCCCCCTGCTACCTCTGTGTCATTTCTTCCTTATTTTCTTAATTGCTGGCACTCTCAGCATTAAAGCCGGCAGATCAATGGGGTTAATACCGAGGCTTGCTGGCAGGCAGGGTCCCATTGATTCACCAGCAGGAGCAGATCCCTACCTTCCCTAAGTTCTTGGTCCCCTCTTCAACATTCACAGCAGCACTGTTGACGTGGTCTTCAATCCTGTCAATCTTCTCCTGCTGAGACTGAGATGCAAAGGAATTATGAGTGAGGCGACCTGCTGGGAAGCAGCAGTGAGCCAATACACACCATTTTAATGCCTGTAATCAGGGCCCCACAGCCACTTTCATGTGCCATGCACTGTAGCCGGGCAGGCTTAATGGAGGTTCGTTAATAGGATCGGATCAGCTGGGCCGAAACGACAAACTTACTTGCAAAAAAGCCCCACTATTAAATAATGACACAGAGTGGATATTACACATGGCTTGTTGCTTTAGTTACAGAAGAGCAACCCCAAAAGTACGATTTCCACATCTTTTCTGTGGACCAGTGAACTTGTTTTCTAATGGGAAAAATTAGCACATTTGTATCCTGCTGCTTCACATTCAGGAAATAGTCTCCAGAGAACGTTTATAAGATCAGTTCCACCTGCACCATGCAAAGCTGCACTGAGAAATCTGAACAGACACATTCAATTCTGACATTATAACTCTTTGACTTTACAAAATAAATGCTGTCAGTAGTACTGAAACTACACTTCCTATTACACTTATGTTTTACTGTTGAGGGATCTATAAACAAAACAAAAATAATAGAAATGTTACACCGCTAATACAGCCAGATTTCTCTGCACTCTCCCTTGCACAACTGCCACTGGAACAGCTGCTGATATAGGCTTTTGTGTCATGTCCCTTTTTAATTTCATCTCAGCAGCCCCCAAACTACTTGACATGGTTCAACTGGAAATAACAGGTATTCTCAACTTCCTGCTCTTTCTTATTCAGAAACTGATGAATGGTGTCCTAAATGTCCTATGATATGGGAAAAAATAAACCTTTAGACATAAGTACAGGTGAGGAAGCAGCATGACCTCTTTTGACAGTCACATATAATAGGAACAAAGGAAAAACATGGCAAAAAGTGAAGGACACTTTCCCAGCCAGCACCCCTGGGCGGCCAGACCACTGGTGCTGCCGCTGGGGTTCCGCATGTGGCAAGGGAGGCTCCGCCAGGGGCGCGGGCTCTGGAACCGCCTCTGCGACAAGAACATGCAGCAGCCACCAGCACTAGCCTTGGGAAGACGATCCTCACAAAGCCCGAAGCAGCAGCACTGCAGCAAGGCCCCCGTGGCAGGGAGTCCCTGATGGGAGTGAGGAAGATCCCGGCATTTCAGCTCATTGCGGGGAAACTGCCTCCATTAAGTTTCCCTGATGCTCCTACCAGTGACCAAGCTGCTTAATCTCAATTTATTTAACACCAGACTAACAGTCAATTCAATTGATGTTATCCTGCTACTGTAGCATGGCTATCAAGGGACAGCCGTGCAATACGAGTTCAGATTAAGGACAGAAATTTTGCTCATCTCATTCTTCAACCCAGAGTTAGCCCCAACCCCGTTTCTGTACAATCTCCAGCTAAGACGGAGCGCAGAATTAATACTTACACTCACTAACACGGAAAATTCAGTCACCAACTGGTTAAGCTGAATCAAGTCCTACAAATAAACACAAATGTTATTTTTTCCCAGTTGCTACCAAGAGGAGCACTAAAATAGCCCTAAGGGTGTTTTAACCTACCTCCTCCAAGTTTTCCCATGACTCAGCTGCATTTTCATCCTGAGGTATTTCAGGAAGAGGGGAATACATCTGGATTAAACTTTGGGAGCCATCCTTCCCTTCAGCGCTACAAAAAGTTTCTGAATGAAAAACATGACATTTTGAAGTAAGTAAGTGCACAGTATGAGCATGCAGGTGACATGTGCTAGCTTTTGTGCTCCTCACAAAAGGAGCACATATATCCGTGTGTTTCTCACGGATATATTCAGAGTTGACCTAATTCACATCAAGCAACAGTTCTCTATTACATAGCAAAAAGGAGGTTGGACTAGGTGATCCCTAGAGGTCCCTTCCAACCTCAACCATCCTGGGGTTCTGTGATTACCTCAGAAGATTACACTGCTCAGCAGTGTGAAGGAGGGAATCTCCATCTCCTTCCTAAACCACTTGGCCTGACTGCTGAAGACAGGAGGACAAGGGGCTCAGGATAAAGCAGGGAGTGAGAGGCAGCTACGCAAGGAAGCGACAAGATGAACAGATCTCCAGCCTAGGAGCTCAGCTTTGAACCTTTATGGATACAGTGGGCAAGGATTTAATTAGGGAAAGTAATTAAGAGGCAGTTAAGAAGTAACAATCCAAGTCTGGCTTGTCATAGGAAGGAGTAAGGAAGAGCCTGAGAGCATGAGGCAAAGATCATGTTAATTCAGACCATTCCCATCTCTCAAGGAAATCAGCTATGGTAGAATCCTGATGTTGGCTTCCTCAGGAGAAAGCTCAATAGAGGAAAGATTGTTTAGAAATGTCTAGGAACATTCAAGCCTAAATATCACATTGAAGTCTTCCTTAAGAACCACCTGTATATTCCAAAGTATTGTAAGTTATGACTGTTACTGCAACACTATGCAAAATAGAGGAAAATAATCATATTCAGTAAAATATATATATATATGGTATGCTTGTTCATGAAATAAAAGATAATTTTTTAAAAAATTTATTTTGATAATATTTGGCAAATTTTCAACATTTTATTTAGCCTCTGAAAAAAACAGCAGGGACCAAATCTTACCACCCTAGGATTAACAGCAGAAGTCTCTTTAATGCCAGTAAAGCCATTGTTTGGCCCCAATTAGTACCTAGCAGTGTAAAAAGGATGCATTAAGTGATCTTCAGTTTTATCTTGGGCTTGCTGGATTTTCCTTCTAATTGTTCTTACCCACCTTTCCCTAAAAATCTGGACACCGACAGCTCTAAAACTTCTACAACTGTCATCTATTCTTCCAGAATCTCACTTTGATCTACAAGATTAATTAATATTTGATATACTCCCAGAAACACAGGATGGTTGAGGTTGGAAGGGACCTCCGGAGATCATTTAGTCCAACTACCTGCTCTAGCAGGGATGCCCAGAGCACAGGACATCCAGGCAGGTTTGGAAAACCCAGATCTTTGCGGAGAAGGAGACTCCCCAACCTCTCTGGGCAGCCTGTTCCAGGGCTCTGGCACCCTCACAGGAAAGACTCAATTCCAAATTTTTCCTCTCCCCTTTTCTTAATCATTTATTAATCACATATCCCCATGTAACCACATATTCAAATCATAAAAAGCTCACTAAGCAAATTAGCCCCTTATAAGTAACCTTCCCTACTCTGGACTGTCCTTAACCATCTGTGCAGAGCTGCTGGGGGGAAGGGCTCACCCCAAAAGACAGGAATCTCTCTGCATGATCTCTACACACCTATGAGAACTTCAATTTGTAAGCAGGTTTGCACTGGCATCATCCTCTGCTAAATAAAAACTAGGAAGTTTTAAGAAAAATCCTCTCTCGCTTCAAAAAGTAATATAAAGAGTAAGAATGGCAAAGAAGGCTAAGCACCATTTGGGTTGAAAATATGAAAATCTGAGTAGAAAATTTATATTCAGAAGTTCATGTTTTATCATTTGTATTGGAACTGAGAATGGAAGTGGCTCCACCAGTTCCCCCACTGCATCTCCACAGAAATGCAATAATACAAAACATCTCTACAGACTTTACACAGCAGCCCCACACCTCATTACACTTGAGATAAAAATCTAATGCTCTGGAAGATTCAATATATTGGTTAAAAGATTTTAGTAATTTTAAGAGTGGAGTCTCACCTTTTGTTAATATTTGTTTAAAATGCAATTAAATTCCATTTCTATTGGACTTGAGCTGAGGATGGTGAGGGGGGAAGGGACGACATCATTTTACTGCCATCCTCCTAAATGAGCAAAGTGAATTTGTCAACTCTTTCCTTCTCTGCTAGATGGGAAGCAACTTGCTACAAAGCACAGGCCCACTGAAATTCCTTTGATTAGGATCAGCAGCCCAGACTTGCTTTCAAGGCTGCAGCCTCCAAGCACAAAAGAATAAGCGATATATTGCACCTGTGTTAGTATTTCAATAGAGCTGCTTTCACAGCCAGGGAAACTTAAAAAAAATCCTGCATAATTGTATTTAGTTGTCTGCCTGCCTGAATGTTTCGCTCTATATGAGCTGAATTATCTCTGTGTACTTGAGCTGACTTAGAGGAGCATGTCAGTTCAGTACAATTTTTCTAGTCTTCTCATCCCAATCTTTCTCATCAATTTCTTGCCTTTTTACATTGCAGTTATACTCAATTTTTTCTCCATACTTTATAAGTTTAACAGGTTAAAAAAATTAGTCCTGTTCTTTGAAATTCAACTGTAGCTGCATTTATAACCTATGTGACTGTTAGAAGAGCAGTTAGACAAGACAAAGCCTTTCCTAAAGGATACTAGAATGCATTGAGGACTGGAACCAATTACTAAAAGAACAAATATTTTAAATTTTATTCTGATCATAACAAAGAAGAGCTCACAGTGAGTTTAAAAGTAACAGGTAATATGGAGGAAGGGGATCCCAGCATAGCAGGACTTGCTCTTCTGAAAAAGAACACAAAGCAAAGGCCAAAGACAGTGAGCTCTCCCCAGAAGAGATATCAACAAATTCAGCAAATTGATCAATGGAATCTACTGGGAAGAAATTCCTGAAGAGCAAAGGAATGCAGAAGAGCCGGCAGGCACTAATAAAAGAGACTATACTGAAGATGACAGCGAACTGTCCTGATGCAGAGGAAAAGGTACAAAAACACAAAAACAATATAGGGTTTCAGAAAGAGCGCTTCAATGCACCACGAAGCAAAGCCTGACACAAGGAAGAAAGTGTCTGTGGAAAGTTAAGAGCAGAAAGACTAAGACACAAAGAAATGACAACTACCAAGGGGTATACATGTATGGCAGCAAGGCTTTGGGACCACTGAAATTAGAGGAAGGCAGAGGAAGCGTAAGCCCACTTCTAGGCCAAGTCCTCTGCTAGGTAAAGAAAGAAAATTATTGGGTAGCCCAGAGAAAGAGGGAATACTGAATGCCCATTTTACTTCAGCCTTTATTCAAAAAAAGGCAGCTGTGATCGGATACTTGATTGCAATTAGTTCTAACAAGAAAAGTTTATGTAGAAAGCATAGGGTCAAGCCTAAAGAGAACAGGTTAAAAATATTCAGATGAGCTAGATCTATTCAGGTTTTGAGCAAATTCCCTCTAGTGTATATAAGAAATAAACTCTGAAAGAAAAAAGCCACTATTTTTGAGAAATTGTGGTGAGTATGAGGTGACCCTGGGAGGCTGCAAAAGAACAGACTTTATGCTTTTTGAGGGAAAAGGGGGGATGCAGCTAAGTGCCAAATTTGACCAAGCGACATTAGAACAAACTAGAGAGCAATCAGTCTGTAAACAGCTGAAAGCGAAAGGATGTTGAAACCAGTTGAGATTCCTATGCCAAAAGGCTACCATGTCAAACCAATTCCATTTCTTTCTACTGGCCTAGGCAGAAGAGAGAAATTGCCTACTTGGTGTATCTTGACTTCAGCAAGGCTTTCTGATACCATTGCACATTTGATGTAAAAGCGAGCACGGATTTCCAATGCTACCTGCCTTTCCTGGCCACTTTACCACTGGGCTCGCTTGCTTAATAATCACACTCAAAGCAGTTCCTGTGGTTCTGCACAGAGCAACAAAGGGGCTCATTCAATAAAACAGGACCATATGCTATTTCTGCAGTGCCACTGACACATTCTCAATTTTAAAGACACATGAAATTCCTAAGCAATATGAAATAACACTGCTGCTGCAGCAATCAAACTACTGCTCTGCAGAAGGATTTAACTCTGGCACTACCACCTTCCTCACAGACCAGCTGCAGGGGATTCCAGCTGCTGCCCGAGCATAATAAGGACAGGAGGAGAGAACAACAAAGGACGAAAGACACAGTTGATACAGAAAGGAGGGAAGAGCAGCAAACATATCTGACCTAGAGCATACCATAGTATTTTCAAAACTCTTTATCTGCATGTCTTCGTGCTGTTTCTTGCTTTCTTGAGAGTGACTAAGATAAAATGCCACATGAAGACATGTTCTCCTTTATGTGGAGACTTGCTCCTCCTTTCCAGGTATTTCAGCAATGGCACAGAATGCTGTCTGACATGTAAAAATTGCTTTCCTCTTGACATTGCACGTGTTAATTCAGTGAAAATGGCCTAAATGATCATTTGCAAGTAACAGGTGATCTGCAGGGCTTGAAAAAGCACCTGAGCTAATGTGAAACAAGAATGTAAGCAGTCTTCCTAGGAAGTTTTCTGAGTCAAGACTCAAACCTTTTCCTGGAGGGCCACCCCTATCTCAAGATACTTAATTAATGCATTCTCTACTTACATAAATTTAGTCACAGAATACTGTTCTAACAAGTCATAAGAAAAGCATGGTGTAGGGATGGAAAATTCACTTCTCGATTAACCATTATTATTCAACTGAAAACACATTTGTTTAATTATATCTGGAGAGGTTACAACAATATAGATAAAACAAAGAAAAATGATACACTACTACCTCCTCCCACAGTTGCAGATCTGGTTAAAGAGGCATCTTCGTGTCCTTCAAGGTGCCTTTTAAGTTCTTCTGCAGAGTCAGAGTGGAGCTGTAGGAACTCTTTTATGGCAAGTGAAGCTTCCTCTTTAACTGGATTTATCATTCTTTGCAGAACTGGGATGTCTTCCTGATGGACTCGCAAGCAAAGTTTCTCCATCTCTCTCATATTGGATCGTAGTTGCTGTAACAGATCGAATATTTTGTAACTACCATGAAAAAGCACCAGACACCTTCTATGTCCTGGGAAATACAAAGCTAGGAAGCAACCATCATCCTGATCATCTCTAAGTCTACCTTTCAAATAATCATGAAAAGTGCAGCTAGTAAGTTTTAATAAACTACAAGATCCTATTCTCAAGCAATCTACCCAGGTCTCCTCTACACCCAGCAGTTTTTGCAGCTTGCATTGCTTCACTTCAGCTGTTTGCCCATCAGAGGTGCCCCATGTTATTCCACAAGCCACCACCTTCACCACTACAGTGAATCCTTCTTCTGAACCCGTCTTGCCTCTCCCAGATTTCCGTGCTATTCCTTCAAATTCTTCTGCTCTGGCAGAAGAGATGTACCATAAGAAATAGAGATTATCTGCAAAGAAGCTGCTTGTACACATTTAACTCAACCCCAAGTTGGTGAGTTTTAAAGAAATGAGCTACATCCCCCTACTCTTTGCAAGACACACAACAGCCCTACAGCTGATGCAGACCCACTGACTCGTGACCTGCACACAAAGGCACAGCACTATGAAAAGCTCTGCCTTATGTGCCTACTATGAAAAGCCCTTCCAAGTGCCTCTTGCTTGAGGACACCAGGACATCACAACCAGCTTGTTAAGTATGGTGTAATTTTTTTAATGTCTTGTGCAATGTGAGTTCATTTGGCCCGCCACATGTGAGAAAGAAACAGGTGGCAGCAACTCCCTGCTCAAGGGAGCCTTGAACACACAGAATAGTTGACACGCACACCGAGTACTGAAAGGGATGCACTTGTCTGAAATGGATTCAGCCTGTTTGGAAGGCACCTGCATTCCGTAAGGAAAATCAGCCTATCTGCTCCTCTCTCTCATAAGGTGAGCTAACGATTAATGAGGAAATGGTACGTATTGTTTTCTCTGATGAACTAGTTTATCAGCAGTAGCAGCTAACCTTAAAATAAGAAGTATTTTTTCAGTCACCTCCATCAGTGTCTTCTCAGCATCTGTTTTACCCTTTTTCTTCAAGTAGAAGACTCTCTTTGGGGTTTATAAAGAGTAAATGGTTTAACGGTTTAATTAACTAATGATGTAACTGCAGAAGTTACTTTGGCGTCAGCAATGAATCTTGTCCTTTGCCAAAATATTTGCCCAAGTTGCAACACGCAAACACAGTATCAGAATAAAATAAACGAACATTTTCCAGATTTTACTTCTTTTTGTAGTATCCGACTGTGGTGATTGGTGCACTTAGGGATGCTCGCAACCCCAAAATATTCCAAAAGAATCTCAAAATATATTTTTTTTTGGTAAAGTTATCCTCAAGGACCATGGAGAAGGATTTCCATTTTTCACAATATTGGTATTTCTTTTCAGAAGACAGCCAAACGTTTGTGTGGTATCCCAATTGAAAGCTACAGATTTTTTGCAGTCTCTCCAGATAAGTCGGAATTTCTCAGTTTCTGACCATTTTCATTGTCTCTCTGATGGTTCCTTTAATGGCCCCATCTTCCTTACCAGACCCAGCATCCCGCCTGAGATCCAGCTAATGCCAAGCAAAGAGATTCCTCAACAAGCTGCACAGGCTGCACAGCATCCCACTACCTGCTATTTTTCCTGTGTCAGTGTCATAGTATCGCCTCACTTGCAGTTTGTGATAAATATGCCTTCTTACTACTATTTAACCTGTATAAAATAATCTTCAACTTCATTGCCATTCATCTATTTATTGATAAATTGTGTCTTGCTAAACAAGTCAAGTCCTTCTACACAGAACTGCTACCCGAACAGCTGCTTCCCATGCAAGAGTTGTATTACCAAGGATTCCAGCCTGCTGATAGAATCAGTCACGTCCAACAAATGAATCCTCCTATTACCCTCTCTCTGGTAACTTCCCCTCCACTCTACATCTTGTTTTAAGTTCCAAAGCAAGCAGTGCCTCCAAACAAACCCCAAATCTCAAAACTGTCTCAAACTTAGAGATCATTTTGGGGGAAGTACTGCACTAGCTTACCTCTAGCAAACACAATCTTGTCTTCACATTTGTTCGAAGTTTTATTTTATATACTATAAATTTCTTGATATAAATCCCACAAAGTCTGGGTTTCAGGATATAGTTAACCTGCAGGCAGCCACAGACTGCAACAGCAAACTGGTTTTACGTGAGCCTGCTTTGCTACCATATCCAATTTCTTGCAGCAATAGAGAAGCTCGTCCACTCTGCTTCTCACGCTCTCCAGGTGGATTTGTGGGGCCTTCCAGAAGGACAACAAGAACTTAATTTAAAGACACAGAATTGTGTCTTCAGATGGTACAGATGGTACAAGTCAATACAAATAAGTTGGGAGATGCAGGCAGAAGAGAGCAGATTGAGTCTCAAGGCTGACAGAGAGAAAAACCTTTTTTTTTCCCCACTTATAAACTATGCGCAGTTAAAATGGAAATCATGAAAAAGGGGGAAAAAAAGTGGATAATGGGTTGGATATAGAAACAGGATTATCCATGACATTTTTTTTTATTTTGTTCAGTGTCTTATATTCTCCCTAATAACCACATTATTAGGGAGGATATAAGACTTCTATATAAGAGGCTTCTTCCAAGCATGAACATGATCAGACCCTGGTAGTTTAAAAGGTTCCTGCAATATCCCTAAAAAGGCACATCTGTAAAAGCACATCTGTGAAAACTAATGCCAGAGCAGGCTTACTAGCTCACTAGAGCTATTTTCTCAGCATTTCTGAAAGGGGGGCACCACACCAGATACAAGACTCCCTCACTTTTCCCACTGTCTCCATTCATTTTCCTTTCAGGAGCTTTTAATGTGTCATCCAGTCCCTGCAAAGAAGAGGTTTACATTTATGTTCAGCTATACTTCTATTATACTTTTGACCATCGTCAAAAGTAGAAGTAATTATTCTGGGTAAACTGAAAATTCTGAAAAATGGCTAATTATGTGCACATGGATTAAATGTAGAGTGGCTGTGCATATATTTGTCTAAAACCTGTGGTGGATGCCTTAGGTCAATATTGACTTAGGGATTCCTAATGTATTCTTACAACATCTAATTCTGAGAGCAAAGTGTGTGCTGCAGAGAACATTTGGTATCACATTAATTAATCTGATTTCTTTGCAAACAAACAGAACACAAGTCCATTGGTAAACATTTAAACAGCTTATAGCAAACATAATCTACATGGCATATAATTTATTATCAAGTACTCCAGATTCCTAGCCATTTAATTAAAACAAAGAGCTGGTCTACTCTTCGTGCACGGACCCAGACATTTATTCTGCTCTTAAAGTATCTGAAGGTGGACCAATTTAATGCACACCACAAAAGACAAATATGCCTTTTTACTCCTAAAGCATTTAATCTGTATAATTCTTCAACTTTATTGCTATTTGTATACTTATTTATTGATAGTTTGTGTCTTGCTAAACAAATAATATAGATGCTAAAAAGACTCCAAGGAAAGCCTATACCACTCCTCAGATGTGAAAATATATAAAAACATAGACATAGGCAAACAGGTGCCCATTACCCTGTGCCTGTTAGAATGCTTTTGTTTTAATATACATGATTTTGCCACTATCTTTATAAGATTGTTTGGAGATATATGGAAATCAAGAATAAACTTATTTTATATCCGAATTTCAAAAATGCTTAATGAAAAACATAATAAACATTCTCTTCAGCTTCAAATAGCAAAAATTAAATGGGCTTTATATGTATCTTCATATCAGCTATGCTAAGCAAACACATGAACACCTTCCTTTCCTGAAAAAAAGATACTGCATTCAAGTGACATGTTTGTAACTCTGGACTGACCTCTGTTTGATATCATTCTCCAAATCGTACCATTCTTCAAATGAAAATTTATTTCTGCGTTGTTCTCCTTTTTAGCTTCACCTCCCATGGGAGCCAAGAGGGCATTGCATCAAATGAGAATGGATAATCCCAGAATTATAAAATACAGTGCTCTAGGACCATGCTACCTTTACTGGCAAAACCTGCTCATCTAGGTACTGCCCAGGTCACAAAAGGTTCATTTCACTGGCTGGCGTGTCCCTTCTGTGAATAATATGCATGAAATCAAAACAAGATGCTTCTCTTTCAGGCAAATGTGGGTCTGTCCCTTGAATGTGCCACTACACCAGTGTTGCTGCTGTATCTATGCCAGCAAAACTTTGCAACACACCTGCTCTCAGTGGTTTTTTGCACGAGTAATTTTCCAGGGTTGTCTGCTACTTAGCAACATGAAGGCTGATACCTGGCATTAGTTTTTGCAAGGGTTTTATCAAGATGTAGTTTCTTTTAAAAGCAGATGTGACGTGTGAGGTGTTACAGCTGAATGTGCAGGAAGTCACCGATAGGACGCCATGCGCACACGCGTCTGATATTTATCCTTGGATGTTTCTACTCATCTAACAACAGATCCAACACCAAACTAGTAAGCTGAATGTTCTGCATTTGGTCTGAAACCGTTCTTTGAAATGAAAACTAATCCATTATTGCATTTACTAATATTCTGATTTATTACTATATGCATATAGTTTACAAAAGACCAGAGCGTCCAAACTTTGCGTTATTCAAAGCTGTAAACAAATACTATATATATATTTAGATTCCAGCAGTCGCTTGTGTACTTAGAATCATACCCATTACCTAAAAACTCACAGCATGTTTACACAATTGCAGAATTTGTTATAAAAATACATTACCTGGAAAGTTGACTAGAAAGTGTCTGTTCAAGGATGCTGACAGCTTTTGTTGATAAGCCATGCTCTCTTTCAGCAATTTCAAAAGAATATGACCATCTCCTTACAGGTCACAAGTAAGAAAGCCCTACTTCTTAAACACACTGTCAAATTTACATGTCTGGCAAAATCTGTCCCTGAGGTAAGAGGTAATATAAATCTTGCTTAATGCCATTAACATCACACTTATTTCTATATCCTTACCTGAACTGTCCGTCCTGCATTGATGTGCTCTTCGTGCAATCTGTCCCAGAGCCTGCATCGTTGATACTAAAACACACAAAAAACATCCCATGTCAATGCAATTTTAACTAACTGTCCGTGCAGAGAAAGGAATCTTTATGGAGTAATCACTTTAACACTCCAAAATTTAGACTAGAAAACCTAAGTCACAGGTATTCCTACTGCAGAACTGGAGAAGAAAATGGCAATATATTCTGTCAACAATTTGGAACAATGTATTTTTGTTCAATCAAAAATAGCCATGGCTGTAGTAACAGTTTTAACAACGACGAGATTTTGCAGTATCCAGATGCTGCTGTGGCATTTTTCACTTAGTGACTAGCGAAATAGGAGAAAAAGACTTGGAGTGGGGCAAAAGCTGCAGTGGTCTTGCATGACCTTAAAACAACAGCGAGTAGTACAAACTGGGATCCTTGGGATAGGCACTGAAACCATCAAAGAATGCAGTAAAAATACTAAACTGTATTTGAGCACTTTTTTTTAATAATTGAATAATTAATGACAGAACAAAAATATTTAGAGTAACTTCTGCTGTGTTTTATGTAAATTTTAATTCTTTAATTTCTTAACATCTCATGCTCCCAATAAAAAAAACCCTCACTTTATCTGCAGTCTGCATCTTTTATTAATCCTTTTTTTAATTATACAGACCAGAGCAAAAAGGATTGCAAGATACTCTGTCTTGTAGCACTACAGAGGGGAAAAAGTTTAGTTTCAATTAAGTCAGATTAAAGTATTTTCTCTAGGAAATTTCTGTACAAACCTCAAAGCCATTACAATGATTGTTCTTCAAAACTGAATCAATATTAGATCACCTAATTCAGGCACTCCTGAAACAGTGCGGAAACATGAATTTCCATGGGTGGAACAGGAGGAGTTGGAGGGAAAAAAATCACCTTTTCAAACGCAACAGACTTTCATACATTGTTAACATGCTGAACAACAATACTTAAAAAAATAAAGAAAATGCTTTCCAATTTAAAACAACATTCCACAGGAAACCTATGTTGCTCTTTACTGTTTCTTTCAGAAATGCCCAACGCATTTATCTGCTTTATACACACAGAAATTCTATTCCAATGTGCTTTGCGATTCCTGCAGTGCGAGGGATCACGTCCAAGAATCCAAGCACTAATTCCCTGGAGCAGCAGCACTTCTCCAGGTTGCTCCCTCCATATGGACCGCACTGGGCTCAGCACAAAGGGCTCCGTGCTCCAGGGCACTGTTCACTTGGGGAGAATTAAGATCAAACAGGATGGCAGCCCTTGGGGACAGGTGAATTCCTCTCTATTTACATTTAAATGTTTCACGCAAGCTCCTTTGACTTAGCACAGACCTGGGCAATGAACTTGAAATTGAGAGCAACAGAGAAAAGCAGGGCATGGATTACAGCAGGTTTTTTAAGCCTTGTTGCTTACTGCAAGCGAAGCTGAGACCAACTATTTTCCATGTATACCTTCAGTATGCCTAAATATTCACCTTCTTGTAGCACTAGGACCTTCTAGCAACTGTGTTCATTTTGATTTGAACATAGTTTTGAAAGCTCTACAGGGTTTTGGTTAAATACACAATTTATTCCCTATTTTTTAAGTGAAAGACAATCAAATCCAGGTATTATTATTTCAGAAAACAAAAGTTCTTCAAGAAATAGGGAAAAAAAATCCTGTACAGTCTTGATTTCATAGAGAAGCAATTTTCAGGTCTTTAACAAACTCTTTAATTTGGAACAGCAGAAACTCTTATAAGGAAAATCAGACTCAAAACAGTGTTTCACTGTCATGGGAAGTACTGGTGAACTTACCACAGACACTTCTAAAAAAGAGTGGACTCAAGGTCAAGTTTCACTATATATTGATTTTATAGTTTCTTCAAACAATGATTTAATAGATTGTTTGGACTATCTCTGGAACGTAAGGTTTAAATCAATATTCATGAAATGAGGTTAGAGATATTGGCTTATCATAAGTAAATAATGTTGCTGCTCTAAGCAATTTGACATAATTAGTTATTTTTGCTTAAAAGTAGCATGTAAAATAAACAGGACTAGATTCTACCAAATTATCCATTTACCCCCCAAGGGATGTTGGGATTACAAAGCTGAAAGTTAATTTTACAAGAAGTATTTTACAAAAAAAAAGAAAACCCTTAAGCTGCTGGCGCTGCCTGCTCACAGAAGTACTGCAGCACTTCCCTTATAGCTAAAATGCACATTAAGAGGAGAAAATGTCAGGGGTATGAAAGCACCTCAACTGAACTTCTCTAGTTCTGAAATCTCAAACTATCTAGAGTGCCAGATTTCAAATTCAGAATTGCTACATTCTGATTCTTTTCATAAAGCTACTGACAGAAGAAAATTTTAGTGTATTTATAGCTCTTAAAGCCTGAGAAATATCTTAATTCTGAAAACTTCTTTAAATTTTCTTGAAGAACATTACTGTGACCATACACTTAAAACAAAAGAGCTATCTTTATACTCATGCCTCTTCTTCTCATAAATTTTTATGTCTCATGTTTTTGTCAATACACAGAGCTTCTGAAGTTTTCCAGTACTGTTAATACCTCTTGGTAGAGTGACCAATTCTTTATTTACAGGATTTCTTCACAATTACTTGTTTCTAATAAGTCTATTAATTCGTAATTCAGACAGCAAATCATCCAACACTTACACCCTCTGGGGACAAAGAAATTTATAATTAATAGCATTTTAAAATCAGAAAGACACATCTGTACTAAACATAGCTGCCAATTCTTGCTTTCACAAAAGCTTTGTTCCAAAGGAAATGCAGCTAACACCTTAATTTTAAGACATGTTTAAAGAAATATTTAAAGAACTCAATATGCAAATTTAATTATACTGATTAAACAGGTTCTTCACATAGATACCACCAACAACCTGAAAAACCTTAAGAACTGGAGTCTTTTACATAATACATCAGATTCAAAATATAAACAATGTTCAAAATATAAAATTCAACTACCTATAAAGGACCCTGATATTTCAACATGGACATCATGGAAATATCATATTTGAACTGTCTACTGTCCACTAATGGTGGTGACATATGAGTCTCTCTGACGATGCTTTGTACGCAGGGTGTATTAAATGAGAGCTAACCTAAAGACTCATCTTGACTGCTAACACCGCCTGCATTTTCTTCTGCCTGCATTCTTATACAAAGATATCTTTATAAAGATGCCCCCTTCTGACTGCAAATCAAGAAAGCTCAACTCCAACAAGTCACTGGGCCAAAAAGGTTTCCAGCTGGAAACCTTATGATTTGGATGTAGCTATAGGGATTCTTCCAGAATGCCCTGGTAACAGTACCTCGCTAGACACAATGCAATTATTCTTTAAATACATTAAAGCACAAACAAATTAAAAAGAATCGGAAGGCTCAACGAGGAGCTGGCTATCCCTCCTCACTAGCCAGCTACTGCAAAATGTAATTCTAAGGATCATCTCACGCTGATAAACTACTAGAACATGAGCATGTACTTAGTCTCAGTGCAGCATCCCATGCCTATTGAAACTTCCTTCTAGGACACTTATAAACCATTTGTGCCCTGCTAGGCAGTCCCCATTCTGTCCCACCAAGTCGGCATCCCCTTCCCATCAACGCACTATGACTCTTTCCAGTGACCATCCACTCGCTCAACTCAGACAGAGCTGGAGCTCTTAGGCCATTCCTTTGCAGGTATTTATTAATTCATTTCCTTCATTTCTGCATGCCTTCCCTGGCACTCTTAAGAATGGTCTGCATCACTGTCAAACATTTATAGAGTGCCACTGCTGTAAGATAGAGTACTGTCCTGAAGAGTATTTTTCAATATACTTTTAACACAGGTGAACCTCTCTGCAATCTCACGCGGCAAGGGAGCAGCTGATGTTGCCACGTGCACGCTGCTTCCCTGGGCAGCTTCTGGTTAGACACAGAAGGAAACAACTTTGCTGCTGAGACTGGCCATCTAAACATTGCAGCCTGCATGGAAAAGGCATTCCCACCACGCTGCCCTCCAGGCACCACTGTGCTGGGTCTCCCTCCTGCAATGCTCCCTGTGGGCTGCCACTAGCTGGTCCTGCAGCCTCTGCTCAGTCCTGGCCATGCAGGCTGACAGAGCGGACGCACGGATCCCTGAAGGCTGCTCAGCTCCACAGCAATTTAGCAGCGGAGGCTCCTCGTCTCCCACCCTCACCCAGGAGAGGCTCCGTCCTAACTCGGGATCTCTGCCGCTCCTCCGGGGCAGGTAACACGAGCGGCTGCTCTTTGCAGGGGAAGCTGCGGAACAGAAAGCAGCTGCTGGCCCCCACAACAAGATGTGGCATCAGCTGCAGCAAAGCGGCTGATTCCAAGCCAGGAAAAAAGATCCTGTGGCATCTAGGAAACATTACAAATTATACAACTATAAAACTGCACACAGTAAAAGGCATGCTGTGCTTGAGAAAAGAGTACATCTCATTCAGGAGCTTCTGCTTCAGACTGTGCAAATATTATATACTGCCACATTTTTCAAATTGTCAACACTGCAGCTTTTATGCTTATGGGATCCTTGTACCAGGAGAGAGCCAAACGATTCTCTCCCATCATTAGTCCTGGCAGCCAAACATTCCCCCAGTCACCTGCCACTTCTGCACCAAGTCCCCCCAATTCTTCATGCTGTTCACTTGTCCCACAGAGAGCTTCATTTTCCCCTGGCACATCAGCAAAGGGAGAGGCCGAGGCAGCAGGAACACAGAAATGCTCCCACTCTCACATGCAGGATCAATCAAATTAACAACCCCACAAAAAAATCTAGTCATTTTTAAGCCTAGGAGCACCTCTAATTTGGGGCAATGGAAAATCGCTTCTTTTCCACATCTTAATTCTTGGCCAAAATTGGCAGTTTTAGAAGCAAAGCACAGTGCAGTACCAATAAAGGCCACGCTTCAAACAAATCTCAAGATACTGCTGCAAAAGGATTATAACTTAATCTCAGCAAATCAGTAAGTTATTTCCTCTCTATGCTCCCAGAAATGACTACGTGGATATATTGTCTTTCCTTTCCTCTTCCCAAACCCAAACTATTTGAAGCAAAAACCTGTTAAGGAAAACTTCATCCAGAAGTTTACATTTTCGTGAAGTTTATATCTGTGAATTTACAGTAAAGCTACAGTCAAGTGGTATACAAGTGTCAGCATCAACATAAAGAACAGTTTCAGCAATACCATTAATATACACCCTTCAGATACCCTTTCAGGGAATCAGAATCACATTCCTAAACTGTGTTTTCTTTCAAGCTCTTCCTTCTTTCCAAAGCTGCTCAACTCAAATACCACTAAACAAATACATTTTTTGCCAGTTATTTCAAAATTTCAATCTGAATGTGATTATTACAATTATAAGCTTATTTTCTGAGTCACTCTCTTTCTTTTACTCATTTCTTCTAGTAAATTTCTTATCTTCCCCAAAAGAAAAAAAAAAAAAAAAAAAGAAAAAAAAACTATTTCCACAGGCTCTATCTGTATTATCAAAACCAGAACGTTTCAACTGAAACCTGAATCAATCTGAAATTGCTAGAACACTTTCTGGCACAGTTTTGGCCCAGGCCAGACAACACTCTCATAAAAATAATAGCTGAGGATCATTAAGGAGCTAAAGCAGGGCAGACACTCCCAATTAGCAGAGAATGAGGGTTTTATGATATGGACATAAACCCTCCCATGCCAGAGAACTGTCCTGGGCACGTTTAGCTTCCTGCTACAGTCATTGCCACAGTGTATGCAAGAATTCAACCTGACACTGTTTTTTCTTGGAAGCTCGAAAACATAGTTTTGTAGGACCAGAAAGCCAGTTCACTATCAACTGTGAGGTCATGTCTACAAGAAGTATATAAGCAAGCTAAAATTTTGATACCAGCAATTATTTTTCCATTCACTTTAAGAATCCAATCTCCTCCCTCTTTCTCACCTCTGTTAAAAACATACATTGGGAAAGAGTGATATAAAGTAGAAAGCTACTCAGAATAGCTAGCAGCAAACCACTGTGACCTAAAAATAAGAAAATAATATTAGGATACTTTCTTTGTAGCAACTTGTGAACATGAAACATGAAGCATGAACAGACCAGTTTCCACAAATGTAAAATCCTTTTCAGACTGAATGACCAGACAATGCAGTGATTTCATTAACAGATGAGCGATAGCTAAGTTTTAACTGAAGCATTTAATAACCCAACATTGCACTGAAGTGTGCATATAATCTTCCATTGTGCCTGCTTATATACTGTAAAAGGTCAAAAAAAAAAAAAAAAAAAAAAAAAAAAAAAAAAAAAAAAAGTGAGTACTGACCTTCTCAATATTTATTTGGTGTTTTCTCAACCTCTCCAAATCTGTTGGAATTGCCACTTTAATGAATTTCTGAATGGAAGGCTCAATCCGACGGAGCCTAACTTTTTCTTCTTCTTCAGACATCCTAAAGGCAGCTTTCAAGTCAATTCTGATCCAGCAGACTTTTAGCAAGGTAGAAATCCCTAAAAAGATAAAGACGGACAGTGAGAAAGGCAAGTGAACTTCTGACGAAGCAAATTTGGAGTTCTAGGCCCCAATTACAACAGTCCAGATTAACAACTTTTTCCAACACAGCTACATATAAAAGCTGTTTTGTGGGGAAAAAAAAGATAGATAGATAGATAGATAGATAGATAGATAGCTATAAGGCAGATCCTCCTCCTTTGTCTGTCCCATCCAACAAAATGACATCTTGAAAACAGAATATTTACTGATGTTAGTACAAGTTTGAGAAAATCAGTTATAAAGGCTTCACTTTAGAATCACTGTTACTTTCCTTTCTCAGAACCTCAGAAAAAATATACTACATCAACTGACTTTGCAGTCACTGCTAAATCATTCCCACTGTAAATTGCAGAGAGATGCACTATACAGTCATCTTATACATCCCTTTCTAAGCCAAAACATTTAATCCTTTCTTGTCCACATCTTCAAATAAGCATGCACTAGGGTAAAAATGAAGGTTTCTTGCGGACTTTATTGGGTTTGCGCTTTCCCAAGCATCACTTTAATAATCTGCAAACTATACTAGCTGTTTTGGTTTTGTGTTTTGTTGTTGTTGTTGCTTTTCAGTCAATAACTTAGGTCAGGAGAAACTTTCCCCAATCAGCTAGTCCGCACTGAATTAGAGGTGGCTGCTGAGGCCCTGATCCAGCTGAGGCCTGAGCGCCCCCAGGGCCGGAGACTCCCGGCACTTTCTGCGACAGTTTGGCCCCTGCTTCAGTTTGACAGCCCTCCAGCTGGGAAAAAATAAGGTTCCTTGTATCTACACCTTAATTTGCGGAGCTCCCGCTCATGTACATTCACCCTCCTGACTACACATGGCTCTGGAAATCCCTGCTCGCGGCAGCGTGGGGCCCACCGGGACACCCAGGTCCCCCTTTCCCGCAAAGCCGCTTCCCCTCCAGCCTGTCCCCAGCCGGAACCGGTGCGGGTGGTTCCTCCACTTCGGATGCAGGACCTGGCCTCATAAAAACCCTTTAAAAAAGGGGGTTAGGGGGTTTTGCAGCTCCTTCCTCCATCCTGTCAAAGCCCCCTTGCACAGGAGCCTCGTCCATCCCACCAGGCGCCCTGCAGCGAGCAGCGCGAGCCCACGCTGGATCCGCACTCTGCTGTGTCCAGTGCCATTTCCCAGGCCATGGTGGATCCGAACTCTACCCCATGCAGTGCCATTTCCCAGCCCATGCTGGATCCACACTCTGTCGTGTCCGGTGCCATTTCCCAGGCCATGGCGGATCCGCACTCTGCCCTGCCCGGTGCCATTTCCCAGCCTGTAACCGGAGCCGCGGCAGGCGCCACGTTCCCGAGGGTGACTCCGCTCTCACCAGCAAGGCCAAGGGGCCGCGCTGCCTGTATCCCACCTGAACGAGCAACAGGCGGACACAGGGAAGGGCCGACGGGCAGAAAAGCGTAAAAAAAGGTACGGAGAAAGCCCCTGGGTCCCAGATCGAGGCTTCAGGGGGGCTTCGCTGGTTTCCAGCCCCCAAAGCGAAGCGTGTTTCCGAGCGCCCCGGCACGCAGGGCCAAACCACGGCTGAGGGGTTTGCTCCGCGGGGAACCCGGGCCGCTGCGGCAAGTTCCCGTCCAGCCCAACCACCGGAGCCCGGGCCCCGAACCCGCAGCCCCGAGCCGGGCCCCGCGCGGCGCGGCCCGCGGAGCGGGAACTGCGGCCCGCGGAGCGAGGCCCGCGGCCC